AAACAGAGAAAAATGGGAAAAAAGCGGGAAAATTGGGAAAAATCCTGGAAAATCGTGAAAAATCCCAGAAAATTGGGAAAAATCCTGGGAAATTTGGAATGCCGGTGTTTTGGGCAGTGTGGAGAAGCTGGAGCAGCAGGACCCGGCTAGGAAATGGTGGGAAAAATGGGGAAAAATCCCAGAAAATTGGGAAAAACCAGGAAAAATCCCAGAAAATCGGGAAAAGTCCTGGAAAACTGGGAAAAATCCCGGAAAAGTGGGAATGTTGGTGTTTTGGGCAGCGCAGACAAGCGGCGGCGCGAGCAGGAGCCGCGGGACCTGGCGGGGAAATAGCGGGGAAAATTGGGACAAAAATGGGGAAAAAAGCGGGAAAAATCATGGAAAAATCGTGGAAAACTGGGAAAAATCCCAGAAAATTGGGAAAAGTCCTGGAAAAGTGGGAAAAATCCCAGAAAGCTGGGAGAAAGTCCTGGAAAAGTGGGAATGTTGGTGTTTTTGGCAGCGCGGAGAAATGGTGACGCAAGCAGGAGCAGCGCGACCTGGCGGGGAAATAGCGGCAAAAAACAGGGAGAAATGGGAAAAAATGGGGGAAAAGCGGGAAAAACCTGGGAGAAATCCCAGAAAATTGGGGAAAATCCAGGAAAACTGGGAAAAAATCCTGGAAAAGTGGGAATATTGTTTTTGGCAGCGCGGATAGAAGCGGCGGCGGGAGCGGGAGCAGCGCTACCTGTTGGGGAAATAGCGGGGAAAATCCCAGAAAAATGGGGAAAAAAGCGGGGGAAAAGCGGGAAAAACTGGGAAAAATCCTGGAAAACTGGGAAAAATCCCGGAAAAACGGGAATGTTGGTGTTTTTGGCAGCGCGGAGAAGCGCCGGCGGGAGCAGGAGCAGCGGTACCTGGCGGAGCTGGCGGAGCTGCTGTCGGCGAACCTCGGCGACATCGACTCGCTCAGCGTCAAACCCGACCAGTGCCAGATCCTGAAAAAAACCGTGGATCAGATCCAGCAGATGAAACGGCTGGAGCAGGGTGGGAAAACAACGGGAAAAGTGGGAAAAAAATGGGGAAAAATGGGGGAAAAACAACGGGAAAAAATGGGAAAACAACGGG